TCGCTCGCTTTGTGGGTTCTTTGCCTGCGCCAGGGTTGTTTGCCGTGGACCACCGCGCGATCTAGATCCAGTCGGATCTATGCAGTACAACGGGTATTATTTCACCAAGGAAATAATAGTCGGGGAGGATTGTTTCACCAAGGAAACAATCGTCCAAGTCTCGGGATCTAAGACCAAGCTTAGATCCGGAGTGTAGCAACGTAGATCTGAGATCCGGTCCTCTCGAACTCCTGCCTTATTTGGCGTTGATGATCGTCGAGCACCAGATCTGGATGTGCAAGTCCTCGAAGTCCCAAAGCTTGAATCTTGTTAAGTTCTGAGTCTCCAATCCAGCAGGGCTTCGCCTCTCCAAAATTTCCAACCTCCTCAAATGAACAACCCCCTCTCCTATTTATAGGCCACCTTTACTGTGCCCGCGTGCACGTGTCAGAGGATGGCCACCCATGGGTGGCTGCGGCTCTGGCGAGACAACTCAAGGTGGCTCGGCCTTGGCCGAGCCACCTTGAGGTGGCTCGGCTTGGGCCGAGCCACCTGAAGGTAGCTCGGCTTCGGCCGAGCCCCTCTAGGTGGTGGGTTTGGTTGTTTTCCGTCTTTCGGTCTTGTCCGTGATTCGGTTGTGTGGTTGATTGACTCGTTGACCTGATTTGGCAGTAAGTCTGATTCCTGATTTGGCAGTAAATCCCCTTCTGAGTTCGAGTCCGAAACCGATCTTGATTCGATCGTGATTTGTCCGAGTATGCCCTTGGTTGGATGACTCGTTGACTCTTCGAACACTTGGCTTGATCCCGCACGCGAATGGATGTATTCCGTTGCTTGCGTGCGATTCGTCAACCTCGTCGCCTCGTTGGTTCGTCGGTTTGTGCCGAGCTATGCTAGGGGACCTATAAGCAATTTTATATGCCTACAGATACCCCCTCCAAAGTATTTCAGTCTCGTTCTTTTATAGAAGAGTCTAGAATACTTTGGATATGCTTTAGGAGTTTATATTATGTGTGTTAAGTACTTTAAGCTCAATCATATATACACATATATTTTATTGGTTTCTTTGTATATATATGTAGTTATATATATACACACACTTTAATTGTGGTTTCTATGTATATATATAGTTATATATATATACATATATGTTTTGGTTTGATAGTTTCTGAGTTTTAATATGAAACAATTGAATACAATTGAAAATACATTTCTTGTTTCATACTTATATGCATATATATGATTTCAGCAATATCAATTTTATTTAGTTAAATGAAATCATATTATTATTTTTGAAAAGTTTGTAAAATATACAATTTTGTGAAAATATTATATTCTTAGTTTTTGGACTTAACAATAATCATATACATCTTTTATTAAGTCTACAAAATCATTTTGTAATGTTTTAAAACATGGTTAAGCTAAAATGTCAAAACTCATGTGTTTACATTTTCATGTTTTGGACTATTTTGCAAAATGATGATATTTTTTATTTGGAAGGTCCTTTTTTAAAAACCAGTTTCTGTAGCATGTTTATTATCATGTCTACAATCATTTACCAAAGTTTTATATTTTTTGGAATTTATTTGATATTTTAAACCCTGTTTTAAGTTGACATGTACTGTTTAAAACAGGATGTGTGCATGTCTTGAGTCGCCTCATGAACAGTGTTGAGTCAACACATAATCTGTTGTGTAGTTTACATTTTGTTTCTGATGAGTCGACTCATAACAAAACATAATCCCCAACCTAGAATTCTAATGGTTGTCGCCTCCGGTCTGCATAACTTTTCTGACGACTTTGTGCTGCAAGAATGCGCTCTCGAATAACTGTTACTTTCTCCAGAGTTTGTCTAACAAGCTCCGATCCAAGCAATAGATTGTCTTCTGGTCCTGCCCAACAAATAGGTGATCTGCAAGGCCTTCTATATAATGCTTCATATAGTTCCATGCTAATAGTCCCTTGATAGCTATTATTATAGGCAAACTTAATCAATGGGGTGTGGTCCTCCTAACTACCTTGAAAATCAATAACGCACGCCCTTAACATGTCCTCTAATATTTGGTTCACTCTCTCTGTCTGTCCATCTGTCTACGGATGAAATACACTAGAGTAAGATAACTGGCTACCAAAAGAGTTCTGGAAGCTTTTCCAGAAATGTACTGACTTCGTCAACCGATCCACTATTACCAATACTGAATCGTTCCCCTTCTTCGATCTCGATAATCCTATAATAAAGTCCATAGAAATATCTGCCCATTCCTCTCCGGAATGGGTAAAGGTTATAGGGTTCCTGCTGGCCTCTGATATTCTACATTTACTTACTGGCAGGTGAAATACTTACCACATACTCCGTAATCTCACTACGTATGTCGCTCCACCAAAAGTGTCTCTTCAGTTTCTTGTATATTTTCGTTGTGCTTGGATGCACTATGTACCTAGTACGATGCGCCTCATTGAATATGTTCCTTCTTTAGTTGTGGATTTCTCGTCATCACTAGTCGGCCTTTTATTCAAAGTCCTCCATCTGCTCCAATGGTCCAATCAGCCTTGGGTTCTTTAGAAATCTCTCCCTTTCGGGTTTAAATCCAAGTGTCCTCTAGCCGAGCTCTAACCACTCTATCACTCCAAGATGGTTGCACAAACAAAGCTCCAAAAATGTGATGTTCCCACCTATCTCTGGTCTAAAGTCGAACTGGTTAAGTGTGTGGA